GCGCCCTGAAACTCCCAAATGCTGAGGCAACCTAACAAGCAGGATAAAGATATTCTTACCGGCTTACAGCGTCCTGGATGGGAAATTGTTCCGTGTAACCTTCATCTTCCTCCATATTTCTTCTAGTGGGCAGACCTTTCTCCTTACCGACCAGCTTTAGGAGTTGACGCATTAGTATGAATAATCCTTACTTGCTACCCGTAGGGTCACTGCAAGATGACAGAAAGGAAAACCCCCGGTCACTAAAGGGATTCTCTAATATAAACACTGACACACATGTGGATACTCAGACACACATATGCACACACTGACACACATGCAGATACACAGATAAACACACTGACTATATACAAATACTCAGACAGATATACACACAGACAACATACAGTTACACACAATAACATGCAGATACACAACCTGACACACATACAGACATGCAGATACACAACCTGACACACATGCAAATACACATACACACAAATACAAACACTGACACACATGCAGATATACACACTAACACACATGAACATACACATAATGTCACATACAGATACACACAGAATACATAGAGAAACACAGATACACTGACTAAATACAGATACACAGATATACATACTGACAACATGCAGATACACACTGACACACATACTGACAGACATACTAACACACACAGACATATTGACACAGACGACAGACACACTGACACATTGACAGACATACTGACACACACCCTAACAGACATACTGACACACATATTGACACACATGCAAACATACTGACACACACACATACAGACAGGCATACTGACACAGACAGACAGATATACTGACACACACAGACACACACTGACATAGTGACAGGCACACAAACAGACATATCAGCACACACAGACATTCTGGCACACACAGACAGGCGAACTGGCACATACAGACACACTCACAGATATTTACGCACACACTAACAGACATACTGACACACACACACAGATATACAGACACACTGGCAGACACACACACAGACAGACATACTGACAAACACTTTAAAATTTTAAAGCCACCCTCTAGTTTTCTACCTTTTAGTTACAGGAAGGTGGCTTTCTGGAGTCCGGTGGCAGGCTGAGGTAGTTGGGAGTGCGAGGCTCTGGCACTCCACATCAGTGACCCCTCCTGACGGTCTTCTCCTTCCTCCCATGCAGCTTCACTCTCTCTGGGAGGAAGTAATTCATGGCTGTCACTTCCTCCCATATGGATGCCATTAAACAAGGGGCCCAGTCGCACTGTTAAAGGGCCAAAGCTCCCTACCGCGCCAATGTTGAGAAATGCCTACCGGGTGGCCATAAATGCATAGGCCACCCAATGGGCCCCCTTAATGTGTGGGCCACCTGTAGCATTGGCGGGCCCATGGGGCAAATAAATTATTTTTTGTGGCAGCGAGGCCCATGTGGCAGCTGCTTTGGGCACCCCAGGAGTAACTGGGCCCAGGGCAACTGCCTCGTTTTTCCCGCATTAAAGATGGCCCTGGCTCAAGGTTTTACCTTGGCCTCCAAATTCCCCAGATTGTAATACAACAGATCATTTAGCAAAGAAAATCAATAATATAGAAAATACTCTGTGCCACTTGTTAACTAACGCAGCATCACTATACTATATTATATGTATTAACACAGCATATGGTTGTAACACATCATTTCAATTCTGTATGTTTTTTTCTTAGCTTAACAGAGATAGCACAACACAAATTCAAGACTAACCATGGAGCATCAGATGGTACCCCTCTTCTTCCAGGACATGTGCAGGGATGGTGGAAGTAAATAATAAACTAAACAGGCGCCCATTGAACAGACCACGTTACTTCCTCTCCTCATGTGACTTAGGGTATTGTTAAGTAAGGTAGGGGTTTTGAGGATAACTTCCTCCTTTAATTGGCAGCCGGATGGAGTGTGGATTAACTATATGGTGGTTTGCATAAGAATTTACCCCTTGAATTTTCCAGTATTTTGTAGAGTAACAACCTTATGCAAGGCACTTCGCAATTCGTTTCGGGTACTTCCGAATGTCCGAATAGCTGAATTGCCAATTTGCCGAAGTTTCGAATTGCCGAAGTCCCGAAATTGCTGAAGTTCCGAAGTTGCCGAAGTTCCGAAGTCTCAAAGTGCCAAAGTTCAGAAGCACAGTATTGCCTAAGTATTAATATACTTACCCAGTGGAAGAATGAAGACTGTTACACTGTATACAAGTTTAAATAGAAAGTATACAAACATAGCCAGGATTCAGCTGTAAGAATTTGCAACACTTACAACAATCAAGTAACATACATTCATATAAAATATAAGTTACTTAGCCTGTCAATGGAATGACAGGAATGAATAAGTAGATAACTCCCTAATTCCCACGGTATGAGGGAGCTATCTACTAAAAGGCTGAAAGACCAATTTAATATTAGTAAATTATGCCCCTACTCACTATACTGCGAGTAAGGGCATGTCTATTAAACAAAAAAAAAAACCATGTCCCCCCTCCTGAGCCCCCACCCGTGCCACACAAGTGGGGGCTTCAAACATGAAGGGGGGACCTATTGTCCTCCCCCCGGCCCCCACACCTGGATGGTGGGTGGGGCCCTAAAGTAAAATAAGGGGGGGGCCTATTGTCCTCCCCCCCCTGCCCCTACCTCTGAGCGGTGGGTGGGGGCCCTAAAGTAAAATAATGGGGATGGACCTATTGTCCTCCCCCGGCCCCCACCCATGAGCAGTGGGGGGGGCCCTAAATTAGAATAAGGGGGGGACCTATTGTCCTCCTCCTGGCCCCCACCCCTGAGTGGCAGGTGGGGGCCCTAAGTTAGAATAAGAGGGGGGGACCTATTGTCCTCCTCCTGGCCCCCACCCCTGAGCGGCGGGTGGGGCCCTAAGTTAGACTAAGAGGGAGGACCTATTGTCCTCCCCATGGCCCCTACCCCTGAGCGGCGGGGTGGGGGCCCTATATACCAATGGGGAGGGACCTATTGTCCTCCCCTCCGGCCCCCACCCCTGAGCGGTGGGTGGGGGCCCTAAATTAGAAGAAGGGGGGCCTATTGAATTTACTAATACTAGGGGCTGAATTTACCTGAGTGGTGGGTGGGGGCCCTAAATTAGAATAAGGGGGATCTAATGTCCTCCCCCCTGGGCCCCACCCCTAAGTGGTGGGTGGGGGCCCTAAATTAGAATAAGGGGGGACCTAATGTCCTCCCCCCTAACCCACACCCCTGAGCAGTGGGTGGGGACCTTAAATTAGAATAAGGGGGGGACCTAATGTCCTCCTCCCTGGCCCCCACCCCTGAGCGGTGGGTGGGGGAACTAAATACCAATAAGGGGGGGACCTACTGTCCTCCGCCCCGGCCCCCACCTCTGAGCGATGGGTGGGGGCCCTAAAGTAAAATAATGAGCATGGACCTATTGTCCTCCCCCCGGCCCCCACCCATGAGCGGTGGGTGGGGGCCCTAAATAAGAATAAGGGGGGGACCTATTGTCCTCCTCCTGGCCCCCACCCCTGAGCGGCGGGTGGGGGCCCTAAGTTAGAATAAGAGGGGGGACCTACTGTCCTCCCCCCCGACCCCCTCCCCTGAGCGGTGGGTGGGGGCCCTAAATTTAGAATAAGGGGGGGACCTAAATAAATATTTAACCGCTCCCGTCACCCCTTTCCCCCCAAAAAATAACCCCTACCTACCCCCCTCATCCTACAAATAATGAGGGGGGACCATATGCTAGATACCTGGAAAAAAATAAAAAATAAACTTACCCCGCCCTGCGGAGCTCAGTTTGTGCGGAGCCCTCCAGGTGAAGATAGATTTTTTTTTATTGTTCTCGGGTTTTTTTTTCCGCTTTTTTTAAGTGCGTCGGTTATTATAGATTTTTTGGGCCTTTACAGGTATCTAGCATATGGTCCCCCCTCATTATTTTTAAGATGAGAGGGGTAGGTAGGGGTTATTTTTTGGGGGGAGGGGTGTGACGGGTTAAATGTTTATTTAGGGCCACCACCGACCGCCCAGGGGTGGGGGCCAGGGGAGAGTACAGTAGCCCCCCACTATTCTAAATTTAGGGCCCCCACCCACCACTCAGGGGTGGGGGCCATGGGGGAGGACTGTAGGTCCCCCCCTCATTGTCATTTAGGGCCCACACCCGCCACGCAGGGGTGGGAGCTGGGGGGAGGACAGTAGTTCCCCCCCCTCATTCTTATTTAGGGCCCCCACCCACCGCCACTGGCTTTTCACTGTTTACTAGACATGCCCCTACTCGTGGTATAGATTAATTTACTAATACTAGGGGCTGAATTTACTAATACTAAGTAATTAACCAATTTAGGTCTTTCAGCCTTTTGATAGATAGCTCCCTAATACTGTGGGAATTAGGGAGTTATCATCTTAGCGGCTGCTTATTGTATGTTATTTTAAGTGATTTCCCTATCCACATTTGTTTGCAGGGCACTTGTCCTACTCTTACCCCCATTTTACTTCATTTTGCAGCCCTCTAGCCCTTTCTAGGACTTTTTTAGAGGCATTTTAGTGCCAAACAGGTTAGGTCAAGTTCGAGCCCGAAGTCGAACTTTTTGACGAAGTTCGGCCGATGTCGGTGAACCTGAACATCCAGGTGTCCGCTCAACTCTACATGTGACTTATGCAGGAGAAGAGTAAGCCGTAAGAGGGGCAGAAGGGTACCTACTTACTATTTCTAAATGCCTGCAGCTGCCTGACCCTTAGATTTAACCTGACTTCTGTTACAGTTATCTGCAGTTTTCATATAGCATGATTCTTACAGGCTGAGGGTGTCTCTGACATACTAACTCACTAGGGCTGAATTTCCACTTGCTATGGTAAAATTTTCACTTGCGATGGACATTTAGAATCCTGATAAGAAAATGACTAGATTATCATTTCCTTGGTCGTATTACCTAAAGGATCAAAGGATGCACAACCTCTTTAGCCCTAATACTAAAATATATAACAAGATAAAAGAAAGATGTCTAGGCACATTGTGAAATCGGCTCCCGCAAGACATTTTATTAAACATACAAATGGGAAAAATTCACATCTGACATGTTTAGTCTGTATTACACATAGACCCATTCATAGAAAATAATACTAAAAGATACACTGTCAATGAGGAGTTAAAGGGACGCTATAGACAGCAAAACAACTTTAGCTTAATGAAGCAGTTTTTGGTGTATAGATCATGACTCTGAAGTCTACTGCTCAATTATCTGCTATTTAGGAGTTAAATCACAAATCATAAATAGGTGTTGTACACAGCTCTAGTCACACATGTGACTTGCACTGCCTTCCTAAACATGTTTAAACTTCTTTTATTGAAAAGTCTGTTTAATTTTAAATTTAATTGCCTCCTGGACCCTGCAGAAGTCTCCTGTGTGTGATTAAAATTCAATTTACAGAGCAGGAGGTAAAAACCTCTAAAGCAAATTCACATTGATAACCGATCGAAAATTAAACCATTTTCTTCATGCAGGCTGTATGAGTAACAGCAAGGGGACGAGTGGCTAGGGTTGTATAAACAGAAAAAAAAGTGATTTATCTCCTAAATGGCAAAGAATTGAGCAGTGAGACTGCAGGGACATGATGTATATACCAAAACTGCTTCATTAAGCTTCTTTTTTTTTTATGCCTATAGTAACTAGGCATGTACATGGAGAAAATTTTCGGTTCGGTTCGGCATTCTGAAATTCGGGACGTCGGCAATTCGGGACTTCGGCAATTAAGAACTTCGGCACTTTGGAATTTTGGAACTTTGGCATTTCGGGAACTCGGCACTTCGGGACTTCTCTTAGTAGATAAAACCCCAATTCCCACGGTATTAGAGAGTTATCTACCCAAAAAATTTACTAATACTAAGTAAAAATGACCTATTCTTTGTTCTTTGGAATTTTCCCACGCTGTGTAATTTGACTCATAACTCTCTGATTGGTTACTTTCAATCCACCAATCAGAGTGTTGATTCGAGTCAAATTACACAGCGTGGGAAAATTCTCACACTGTGTAAAATGACACTTTGATTGGGTGGATTTCAAGCCAACCAATCAGAGTGCTGTGACAGGTAAATGTAGAGACTTACCTGTCAGTCCCTTCATTTACCTATCAGAGCACTCTAATTCGATGGCTTAAACCAACCAACCAGAGTGCTCTGGTTTATAAGCCTTACTCCACCCTGCAGAGCTTAGTCTGCACGGAGCCATCCATAGGTGAAGATGGATTTTTTTTTTTCGCTCTGGTGTTTTTTTTTATTTGCGACGGTCAGTATAGATTTTTATTTGGCCTTTTTGGGGTCTGAAAAAAGAAGATTTTAGAAGAAAGAAGACATCAAATGGTAAGTTTTATAAATTTTTTACAGGTACTTAGTTAAGGGTCCCCCCTCATTATTTTTAGGGTGAGGGGGTAGGTAGGGGTTAATTTTTTTGGGAGGGGGGTGACTAGGGGTATGGAGACCGCTAGTCACCTGGGGGGTTACATTTTTATTTAGGGCTCCCACCCACCGCTCAGGGGTGGGGGCCAGGGGGGAAGCACAGTAGGTCCCCCCCTATTGGTATTTAGGGCCCCACTCACCGCTCAGGGGTGGGGGCCAGGGAGGAGGACATTAGGTCCACCCCTTATTCTAATTTAGGGTCCCCACCCACTGCTCAAGGGCGGAAGTCAGTAGGTCCCCCCTCATTGTTTTTCAGTAGGTCCCCCCAATCTTATTTAGGGACCCCATTCACCGCGCAGGGGTGGGGGCCGGGGGGGAGGACCATAGGTCCCCCCCAATCTTATTTATGGCCCTGACCCACTGCGAAGGGGTGGGGGTCAGGGGGGAGGACAGTAGGTTCCCCTCTCATTCTTATTTAGGGCCCCCACCCCAGTAGGTCCCCCCTCATTGTTATTTAGGGCCCCCACCCACCGCTCAGGGGTGGGAGGACAATAGGTCCATCCTCCCTTATTTTACTTTAGGGCCCCCACCCGCCGTTCAGGGGTGGGTGCCAATAGGTTGTTTTTTGGGGTTTTTTTTTACATTGAGCAGCCACTGGCTGCTCACTGTTTACTAGACATGCCCCTACTCGCGGTATAGCGAGTAGGGGCTGAATTTACTAATACTAAGTAATCTTTACTTAGTATTAGTAAATGTGGCTGAAAGACCAATTTAGGTCTTTCGGCCTTTTGATAGATAGCTCCCTAATACTGTGGGAATTAGGGAGTTATCTACTAATCGGCTGCTTATTTTATGTTATTTTAAGTGATTTCCCTATCCACATTTGTTTGCAGGGCACTTGTCCTACTCTTACTCCCATTTTACTTCCTTTTGCAGCCCTCTAGCCCTTTCCAGTACATTTTTACAGGCAATTTAATGCCCAAAAGTTCGGGTCCCCATTGACTTATATGGGGTTCGGGTTCAAGTTCAAGCACGAACTCGAACTTTTTGGCGAAGTTCGGCCGAACTTGGCGAACCCGAACATCCAGGTGTCCGCTCAACTCTACCCACCACATAAAGCTAATCTGAGCTTTGGTTCTGAAAGATTAAGAAGATGTCCAAGCAGCCATTGTCAAAAAAAATAAGAATCTGAAACTGCTGTAGAGGTGTGTCCTAAATTTACATCCACTTTATTTTGGAGAGTGATCCATGGCTTATATTACTTCTTGTAATACTTCTCGGGAAAGATTTTTTTTGGAACTCAACTGCAGGTGAACAAATACATTTGAAGCTGTCACTTTAAGACAATATAATTTATTTAAATATATAAATTTAACTTTGGCAGACTTCTGCAGCAATAAGGTTTTGAAAAAATAATGCATGAATGTTTGTTATCTTGTTTCAAAATTGAAAATAAGGAAAAAAATAAGGAAATGCTTAATTAGCAATACAGTCCATAGTCTTCAATATAACGTTTGACAGAGCAGGTGAGTTGATTCCTGTTGTATGAAATAATACAGTCCTTTTGAAGACAACAAAACCTGGTAGTTAGGTAGATCCTGGGCTCACAGTGGTTATAGTCCTTTAGACTCCAAATAATATTGAATAAGACAATTGAAGAGTGAGTAATTGGCTTATGAGAGCTTCAATTAGAATATGCAAATAGAATCCCAGAAGCAGATTTAGTAATTCCTTATCCTTCCAGAATAACTTCAGTAAAGAACCTATTGTTGATGCCAATAAGAGGAGAACTTATCTTGCATTGAGTGATGAGCATAAGAGTCCCTCCAGGATAGAGTGGATTATGATTCCTTGAGGTATGTGGAGAAAGGCAGTAATAAGAAGTGAAGTCTTGTTCCAAGTCTGGGAGTCGAGAGTAGAGCGTAGTCAGGATCAAGCCAAGAGGTTCGGTACACAGGAAATCAGTTAGAAGCTCCGTCGGTAAATAGGCAAAACGGTAGCAAGTATGCAACAGTATCAAACACAGGAAACATTGATTGAGCCATTTTGATGCGGTCGTGGCTTCCTTTTGAAGGGCAGACGTCAGACGAGTAGGCGGAGAGAGATCAGCGAAAGAAGTCATACGGGCAGTGCCGATCTGGCTGAAATCAAACATGGAGGAATTCCAAGAGAATAGGGAGGAATCCTGACACTTCTTCTGTACAGTGGTTCATTCACATTATCCTCTGTCATTTGTTCAAATCAGAGCAAAATGTGGCTGCCGGCCAAAAAACATGATCTACAATGGAAAGTTTTTGTCAGTGTTGCGACAATTTAAATAAGCAGCACAGCCCCTCTGATCAGATAAAGTCACCGGATACCTTCACAGGTGTTTATGTCTCTGGGATAGAGTTTTCATGTATCCCATGTCAAGAATGACAACTACATTGTTAAGTGTAAAAACAAAAAGTATATTGCTAGGGAACTTCTAAACGATCAAAAAATTATTTTCTTTTGCCTGTGGCAAACATAGCACATCTATGCCATCAGGGCCGCCATCAGAAATTGTGGGGCCCCTAACACAGCTCAAGGTCTGGGCCCCCGTGTGCCCGCCTCCAAGCCCCACCCCCAAATCTCACCCACAGGAATACACACACACAAAAGGACACGGACACAGACACACAGAAAGATACACACATACTAACAGACACAAATACTGAAACAGACATACATATAGATTCATACACAGATACACGCGCACACACACTGACATACAGACACACACACTGTTGTACATACATACTCACATACTGACACACACATACATATTGACAAACAGACAAACATACACATAAATTTATACTGACATATATACATAATGGCATACATACACATACATACTGATATACATACATGCATACACACACAGACACACACACAGATATATACATACACAGATACACACAAACATACTGATCTACAAACACAGACATACATGCATACTGACATGCATACTGAAATACATACTTGCAGACACACACACACACAGACATACATACATACATACATACTGACATACACACTGACATACACACATAAATACTGACATATACACACAGACAGACATACACACAGACATACATACTGTCACACACACACATACACACTGACATACACACAGACATACACACACAGACATACACACTGACATACACACACACAGACATACATACTGACATACACACATACATACTGACATACACACACACACACACACAGACATACTGACATCCACACACACACAGACATACATACTGACATCCACACACATACACACACACACACACATACATACTGACATACACACAGACATACATACTGACATACACAGAGACATACACACACACACACATACATACTGACATACACACACATACTGACATACACACAGACATACATACTGACATCCACACACATACACACACACACACATACATACTGACATACACACAGACACACAGACACACACACACAGACAGACATATACACACACACAACATACATACTGACATACACACACACACACAGACATACTGACATACTTGCAGACACACACACACCTCATTTATCAGCCACCCTCCTCTTACCTTTAAGTTGCAGGAGGGTGGCTGGGGATGATGGGAGTGGATGCTTCTGGTGTCCCTCTCCTCCGCTCTCCCCCCGCGTGGAGTAAGCTGGGAGGAAGTGACCGGCCGTCACTTCCTCCCAGCAGCACTTGCGGTATTCAGCCGCAATTTTTTTTTTTAAAGGGGCCCGGTCGCGCAATCACCTGGCGCAGCGCTGACCAGGCCTCTGAAGATACAAGGCCCATCGGGTGGCCCTAAATGCTTGGGCCACCTGATGGGCCCCGGTGCAGATGCACCTGCGGCAGTTTCGCCGCTCCACGTGGGGCCGGGGCGGCCGGGCCCCCCGGGCCCACCGGGCCCGTGACAACCATCACGGTTGTCACCCCCTGATGGCGGCCCTGTATGCCATTTTACTTGTTTCTTATTTTATGTTTAATTATACCCTATAGGTGATAGGTAGATAGATATGTGTTAAAAGTAAAAGTGAAAGTAGAAATACACACTGCAGTATATTTACCTGTGCCCTGGATCGGAGAATCTCTGCCTTGCCTCCGAGACAGGCATTATTTTAGGATATACCCTTTCCAGATGACCTGTCAGTCAAAATAGAGACCTCTCCACAGCTTGCATTAAATATCATCACTGAGACCAAGGTAATCAATGACCAGAGAACATAGTAAGTATAATATAATTGAGATAAAAATAAGTTTTACAAGTTATGTCACTAAGCAACATTTTTATCCTTTCATACCTGACTGGTAACCTCACTGGAAGAGGGGTGTGGAGATCTATGACTGAGATTTGGTAAGATTACTGTAACTGACTGGCTGCCGTACAGCTGAGATCTGTGCACTGGGAAAGGCAAAGGAAAGGTCTGCTCATTTTTCAATTATTCCTTCTGGATTTTCCTCTCATGTCATCCCAGGATGCTTTGCTGAGGTATGAAAGAGAAAAGAATGTTGGAAGTCAAAGATTTAAGCAAGAATATTCACAGTTGTTTACTTCCTGTATGTGTTGTACTCTATTTTAAACAAGTGAGGTATTTATCAATTTTATGGGTTTGTTTTTTTGTGCAAGCTACTATAAGATCTGAATTAAATGCCTTTAAAATAAACTTTAGATATCTGCACAACAGACATGCAAGGACCTGTTATTCCCCAGACCACTACCATGAGGACTGACAAGAGGGCTAAGGGCTGCAGTATTCTTCTACCGAGTTAGGTGTGTTGGTATGTCTGTCAAAACCACTGTGGGAAAAGGCAGCAGACAGGGAATGTACAGTGCCTTTGCTTGCCCAGAACCGTGTGTGTTTCTGCAAGGGCTGTTGGCCTCTGCTCTCGATGTTCTCCAGGTCTGTTCCTGGTAAAGTACAGTATTGTAGTTGACCAGGCTTCAATTATATGATGAGCATGTATGATGTCCCTGGAGGTGTTTGCATGACCCCGTGGTGATATTGATGTAAGACAGTGTCTCAAAAGACAGTCATAAAGCACTACAGTTGTCATTGTGGCAATGGACTAGTTGAAAACAGACTCTTTGTACATACTCCTAAGGACAAATGTTGCCAGCCCTCCCCTGACAATGAGCACACATATCTCTTGAAAACACAGATCCCCTGTGTGTTGGGTCTCATGTCAGTTAGATTGACAGGATATTTTGACAATGCTGGTGTTGTGGAAGGAGTAGTCCCATCTATCTTCACTGGAAGTGAAACATGAGACACCCGTAGGAAGGATTGTTCTTTCATTTCATTTTTCTTTCATTTGCGGGGTCCTGTTTCAAGACAGCTGTTATGGTCAGATTGATGATATGGAAAAACCACTCTCCCCCCCCCCACCCCCCCTCTTACTAGGACCCCTTGTTTCTCATTTCAGTCATCAGAACATGCCATAAAGCATCATATTTGGAAGTAAAGAGTCTTATGACACTACAGTTGTCAGATAATCTCTGTAATAACAGTAAAAACCTCTGGCTATCTCTTACTTGGAAAAAAGAACCCTGTACATTTTACCTTATATTTTTCAATTGATCATTTTAATTGACGAGGAAAGTGGGATCCTAATTGTGTAGCAGAGCATGATAGTTCAAATACCATATATTTATATATTGGTCATTGTTCACGCATGTGCATTCCTGTCCAGTTTACATTGATGTCACACAAACTGTTCTGTTATATTAACAATGGATAGACTTTTTCCAGACAGACCCAGTACATTCCAAGTATCCCTCCCTATTTTGGACCAAAAACCCACTGTCCCCCTTTTTTTTATCCTAATGTCTTTGTTTTGTAGGACCTCAGTATTTATAATGTGTCTGAATTTATACCAGAGCTCCACGGAAGTTATATTCGCAGTAATGTGTCTTTGAACTACAACTATAATTCATGTATTTAGAAATCAATTTATGTAAATAAGATAAATTGCTCTTGTTCTAAATTACATTTGTGTTGCTTAAATTATTAATAAGTCATCCAATATGTCTTAGGACAGACCAGCCACTGGCACGACTCCACTAACACCCCAAAAAATTAAAGTGTCCCTCTTTATCAATGGAAAATGTTGGAATGTATATTCTTACCTTACAGGGTTAAACTATTTTTGTATCGCTTAACTCAAATTGTATCCCCAGCTACCCATCCAAATTGGCTCCTCTGTCCTTCTAACTGCCACTGCACTGGAAGAATTGTCTGACGCTCTGAACCTGTCACTAGGTACAGGGTGACTTAATGGGTACAGGGTGACTTAGACATAGGCGTAGTCCAGGGTCCTACGTAAAGTGTCTGTATGAAACCCCAAGTGATGGTGACTACTAGACACCTAGTCACAAAATAAAAACCTTTGTAAAATATATATAATCCATATTGTCCAGCTAGCTAGTTCTGGATAACTAGACTCAGATATTTACCAATATAAGTACTTTCAGCATATGTTTACTTGATCTGATGATTGATCAGATATACGATTATTTATTTTACGCAAAGAAAAAAGTACAATACATGTGGTAACATGATCAGTAAGGTCTCAATTATTGGGCTTAAAGGACTCCGCTACGCCTTTGTTTGCCTTTTAAACTGCAAAACAAGAAGTTTTACTTACCTGGAATCCAGCACCAGGCAAAGCCCCCTCTTTACATCGCAAAGAAGTCTGTGATTGGACCATTCTGCCAGCACAGAGCGCATGCATGGAATCTGAGCCGGCAAAGGGAGGTTGGGAGTGAGTGAGAAGGAGGAAGGGTAACTTAGAACAAACAAAAACAAAAAAAAACTATGTCTGCAATAGAGGGAGGCGGGAGGGAGATAGTGATCGTGTGCTTTACCTTACAACTCTGCTTTTACAGGACAGCAGGTGCAGTAAAGCAAGGCAGGTAATTTGCTTTAAAGGTACGCTCTAAGCACCAGAAGCCCTACAGCTTAATGTTGTTGTTTTGGTTCAAAGAGACCGATCTTCCAGTCTGACAATTGTAAACTTTGATTTTTCTTAAAAATAGTGTCCCTTGGGCCACTTAAAATAGGTATCGCTCAGAAAGGTTGTTCCTGGTGGGTCTTCACGCTCTGCATGAGGACGCCGAATGAACCCCACAGAAATGCATTGATCAAGTGAAACTACACTTTGGTTTATTGATTTTATTTATTGACTGAATTATTAATTGTCACTTACTTTTGTTATAGCCAGCTATGTGGCATCCTGCTTAAAACGTTATATTCCTTCACTGTCCTGACCTTGCACTGCATGACTTTAACAATGTCATTGTCAGCTTGTGGTTGTTTCGTGCGAAAGCCCTGTGCTGACATATATATATATTAAGTAACCAACTTCCAGCTCTGTTAGATTCTATTTCACAACTGAATATAAAAGTCCTTTCGATTTAGGTCCAGTCAGAGTGTGTCTGAATGGATATGATATTGCCTTTGTGGATGGATGTTTGATGAAAAAATTGAACACAGGCTACCATAAAAACGTTTGTGGGGTTTGTTGATGAGCATGTCAAAATACGCCATTGGATACAATAATTAGATGAAATTATGAACATCCCATTAATGTTTGTTTGAACGTACATTAAAATCACATCCCAACACTTTTTCCTGAAATTATTTGATATTTGCATGTCATAGTTTCACTCCCTGCTGAAATGACTATCCCACTCCTCTTCATTTTATTATTTCACCCCCTCACCAACTGGATATTTCACTCCCTCACCCACTGGATACTCCACTCCCTCTCCAAATCTTTACTACACACCCAATCATTGTTTGAATCCTTCATCAAGTGATATCCCACTATCTCTACTTGCCAAGTCTTTCCCTGTGTTTCTATCCCTCTCCCACCAGCACCTTTTCCATCCCCATGTCATCTGCCCTTCCCCATGACACATCCACCTGTCTCTTTCCATATGCCAAGCCTTCTTCATCCACATGTCACATGCCCACTCACTGGAGTTCCTTTTTAATAAGAGATCTGAAGTTCAAAATGTCCATAGTCATCATGGAAACCAGTTCAACTAGTGGTAGATTCAAGTTTCAATGGTGACTCCAGCCCTTTTACATTTGTGCACCAATTTTTAGAACAGGACACTTTGATAAATCTCTGTCATTGTCACTTGACAAATCTTTCTCCACTAGCACCATTCTATATAGAATGGATCTCCTTCCTGTCTCACTATCACAATCACTCTGGCCCTCTACAGTCCCATTTTTTTTCTCTTTATTTATATATTTAACATACAAAGGATTGTCTACTTTTGCCAGTGGAGATGTCTCATTTCTCGTGCATAATGGAATGTTCTCCAATCAAAAAAGCTCCCTTATTACTAACACCATATCAGTGTTTGGTCAGGAAGCAATGCTGACTACAGCAGCAAGCACCATACATGGCATGGGAACTCAATAAGCAAATAAATCACAATACACACAACATGGAAAGCAAGTGAATTAAAATCAAGAACACAAATTAATAACATAAATACAAAAAAATCAATACAAGGAAAGAAGCAGGGCTTCTGGATACAGGGAGCAGGTTAGCTTGCACAGGAACAGGTTGCATAGTATAACAGCTTGCTCTGGAACACTGAGGGTAATACAGAATAGCAGCTAACTCTGGAACATTGAGGGTAGCACAGGATAGCAGCTGACTCTGGAACATTGAGGGTAACACAGGATAGCAGCTAACTCTGGAACACTGAGTGTAACACAGGATAGCAGCTGACTCTAGACACTGAGGGCAACACAGAATAGCAGCTAACTCCGGAACACTGAGGGCAACACAGGATAGCAGCTGACTCTGGAACACTGATGGTAACACAGGATAGCAGCTGACTCTGGAACACTGAGGGTAACACAGGATAGCAGCTAACTCTGGACACTAAGGGTAATACAGAATAGCAGCTAACTCTGGAACACTGAGGGTAACACAGGATAGCAGCTGACTCTGGAACACTGAGGGTAACACAGGATAGCAGCTAAATCTGGAACACTGAGGGTATCACAGAATAGCAGCTAACTCTGGAACACTGAGGATAACACAGTATAGCAGCTTGCTCTGGAACACTGAGGGTAACACACGATAGCAGCTAACTCTGGAACACTGAGGGTAACACAGGATAGCAGCTTGCTCTGGAACACTGAGGGTAATACAGGATAGCAGCTAACTCTGAAACACTGAGGGTTAAACAGGATAGCAGCTGACTGGAACATTGAGGGTAGCATAGGATAGCAGCTGACTCTGGAACATTGAGGGTATCACAGGAAAGCAGCTAACTCTGGAACACTGAGGGTAACACAGAATAGCAGCTAATTCTGGAACACTGAGGGTAACACAGGAGAGCAGCTAACTGGAACACTGAGGGTAACACAGGATAGCAGCTAACTCTGGAACACTGAGGGTAACACAGGATAGCAGCTGACTCTGGAACAATGAGGGTAACACAGAATACCAGCTAACTCTGGAACACTGAGGGTAACACAGGATAGCAGCTAACGCTGGAACACTGAGGTAACACAGAATAGCAGCTAACTCTGGAACACTGAGGTTAACACAGAATAGCAGCTAACTCTGGAACACTGAGGTTAACACAGGATAGCAGCTGACTCTGGAACACTGAGGGGAACACAGGATAGCAGGTAACTCTGGAACATTGAGGGTAACACAGGATAGCAGCTGACTCTGGAACAGTGAGGGTAACACAGGATAGCGGCTTGCTCTGGAACAATGAGGGTAACACAGGATAGCGGCTTGCTCTGGAACAATGAGGGTAACACAGGATAGCGGCTTGCTCTGGAACAATGAGGGTAACACAGGATAGCGGCTTGCTCTGGAACAATGAGGGTAACACAGGACAGCGGCTTGCTCTGGAACAATGAGGGTAACACAGGACAGCGGCTTGCTCTGGAACAATGAGGGTAACACAGGATAGCGGCTTGCTCTGGAACAATGAGGGTAACACAGTAAATAGATTTCACATTTTTTTGTGTGTGAGAAATTGCTTATTTAGACATAAACGGTATTCGCCCATTTGCCTTTTTACTGTTCGGTAAATGGTTTGACCACTTACCATGGGGCAGCGCCAGGGTACGCTTAGCATTATAATCACAACCGTGCACTGTAGTCTATGTGGCGATTACAGTATCCGTTTAATAATTAGCTATATACATGCATGCCAAATTTTGTATGGTTTTGTAAATGAAAAAATATTTTGCATCATTTTACATCTTAACCGTCCTTTCTCTGTTTCATCTCCTAAAATACTTCCTTCTTGTTGGTTACTACACTTGCATACAACTCCCTTCTGTTATTCCCCCTAATCTGCAGTGCTCATTAAAACAGCTGTGTATGTCATTAGGCAGCACAGCCATCCTTTCTAGCTGTAACTCAGCTAACAGCTTTGACAAGTGGAAAAATGAATAACCGAACTACAAGTCCCAGCAACCTTTGCTCTGAGCAGAGCTGCGTTAGTGCAAAGAAAACAAATGAGCCCTAATCACATGACAGGACAAAAAGGCATTGTGACGAATTTATAGGTGTCATTTCCATGGATTAGTGGCTGTCACACAGGGCCGGCGCTTCCTATAAGGCGAACTAGGCAGCCGCCTAGGGCGCCATATAGGAGGGGGCGCCCTGCGCCCCCATCGCCGGCCCTTTAAATTCTGCAGCCGCCTGAGCACTCTATAGAGAGCGCTCAGGCGGCTGCCGCAGTGCCTCACCTCCCCTGCCCTGCTGTAGCGTGGCCGAGCTCCTTTCCGGTCCGAGACCCGGCCGGACTGACAGGAAGTGCACACTCAGTGTGCACTTCCTATCAGTCCCGCCGGGTCGCGGACCGGAAAGCAGCTCGGCCACGCTACAGAAGGGCAGGGGAGGTGAGGAGATGATTATAGGGGAGGGAGGGGGGAGATTATTGGAGGGGGG